TTATCTTGTATAAGGATGGGCAGGCGTGATAAGCAGTTATTAATCATGCCAGTGAAAGGATATTCGACCAATTACTTTGACACTTTCAGGCACTGAAGTTTGCCGACATACAGACAGACATATCAAGTATAGGGAGAAGGGTGATTTTACCACGGAATAGCGGCGCGTATGTTTTATTGCAGGTGGAGGCACGTCAAACATGGACAGTCGGAGGACTTGTCGAACCAAATCGGCATGTTGCGCTATTAAGGGCATTAATTTGGTCATCGAAATCGGTTAGACGCAACCATATAAACGAACTCCTATAAACGCTGCATGGAACGACATTTAAATCATAACGTATTTATTAATTTTAAGAGGCTTTAGCACAAGGGGAACACGCGTCACTGGCCGAAAGTAAATAAACAGGAGAACAAACTGTTGCTGCTTTCTCAAGCGAAACTAACTTTTCAAGCAAACCAAGAGAGTCAGTGATAGTGGAACGATAGCTCGCATAGGAAAGACCGTACATTCTTACAAAAATTGGTCTATTTCTGATTCTACATCCACCCGGACACGTGGCCCATAATCCAAACGTTAACACCTCCACACCCCTCACCTACAGAACCTATCGCCGCAGGATTCACGTCACCGTACCCACCTCCCCACTTCGTCCCCCTTTGATGTAACCTCTGCCCCAAAAACCTCTAAAGTGACATTCCCAGCCCTCACTGTTCATTTAATCTGACGACAAACAACTGCTACCTGCTCGAAAATTCACGACTACAACTCGATTTCCCGAAGATCTCCTTTGTTTTTATTTAATCAAAGTCTCTGAAACCGGAAAATGGCTCGATCTCCGGGTCTTCAGCCCTTGCAGATCTCCTTTGCCAACATTTAGACAAAAACCGAATGGTGATCAACCCTTCGATGACCCCAAAGGTATATGGATCAATTATTGGTAAATAGTAAAACAACTAGTAAGGAATAACAGAGTGGTCGATTCTAGATTGATTGGTTAGGAAATCCGGCTTAGGCAGTCTGCTTGCTGTTGGCTAGGCCGGTGACGCAACCCTATTGTGAATAAACGCAAGGCCCTCGATCGGGGAGGGTGATTAGCGTTTGGCTATGCTAAAGCCCTG